CCTCCACCCTTGCTATAAAGAGAGGAAACAGGTTCTGTACAGGTTGAACATACACCACGTGCCAGAACCACCACATGCCAATCACAGCAGGGGCCAGAATGAGGCACTTGTCCTGGTCTCCATTTTTTTTTTTTTTTTTTTCCTTTTTGGTTGTTTCTATGATAGGGTCTCACAAAACCCAGGCTGGCCTCAAACTAGATCTATAATAGATGAGGACGACCCTTGACTGTGTGATCCTCCTGCCTCAACCTTCCTGCTGCCTCTTTTCTGCTTCCTGGCTCTGCTGAACGCCTCCCTGGAGAGTCAGGAGGGTGGACGCAATGCAGGACCTCTGTTGGCTGTGAGTGCTTGAGAAACAGCCTTCTCGGGGTGGGGCGACAGCTTCAGTGAGACAGGTCATGTCGTTAGGGCTGGGGTGGTGGAAAGGAAGGCCATTTAAACTTTGACAAGGGGGTAGAGGCTTTGGGAGTGCGCACAGCTCACTGGCGGGGTGTGGGGGTGCAGAGTGCTGGGAATGACGTATTTGCACGAAAGAGGAATTCCAAGTGCTTGCTGGACTCCACCTTCTAAGAAGCAAAGTTTCACCTGTAGCCTGGCCGAAGGGCGGCAGAGGTGGGGGCCATAAGGCTGTGCGTGCTGGGACGCGCAGGCCCAGGGCAGGGATGGAGCAGCCCTACTCTTGTAGGTCTCAAGACCAGATTTTCAGGATTTGGACACATCTCAGCGTCTCTTTGCTCCGGGTTGGCTCCACTGGTCACATGGCTCCCCAGCCTCACACCTTCCAAGAGCTAGGATTACGTGCGAGTTGTACACGGCTTTCTGTGATGCTGGGGACAGAATCTGGGCCCCTTCCTTACGATAGGCAAACTCTGTCCACAGAGCCACTTCCTCCCCTCCGAAAGCAGCCTTTGTGTGTGTCAGAAACAACTCAATCTGGGCCATTTATTGACACGTTAGTAAGCCTCTTGGATTTATGAGAACTCCCTGTCCCAAAGCCCACGGCTCCCTGGTAACTGTCTAGTTCATATCTGTGCCCAGAGAGCCCTTAGCTAGCCGCTCCCTGCTGTGCCTCCCCATGGAATTCTGGACAAGGGGCAGATTTAAAATATCCCATAATTAGCTGAGGATGGAGGCACTTCATAACCTGAGCAGTCTGAGAGGCTGAGACAGGAGGATTGCTGTGAGCTGAAAGCCAGCCTGGTCTACATGGTGAGTTCCAGGCTAGCCCAAGTTAGAACGAGAACCTGTCCCCAAAACAAAACCTCCTGCAGTTGCCTTATTACTGGATCACGAACCCACAGGACACACAGAATATCACTTAGCATGTTTGTTCATCCCTTCCCTCACTCTAACAGGCTGAGGAGGGTCGCACTGCCACCAGCCATCCCACCCACCACTCTAGTCTCAGTTTTGTAGACAGCCTGGCCACCAGCCGTTCAGGGCTTTGCACGGGCACCGGCAGCTTCCCCAGAGCCCCAGAGGCCCTGGGTCAGGATTCCTGAGTCAGGCCCATGAGCAGCGTCACCGGGCCCTGGACTCCAAAGCCAGTCTGCTGGCCATTAGCTCACTCTGGAATCTCATTTCATTTGCTCCTGGCCTTACCTGCGCCAAGAATTTTTTAAAAACGTTTAAATTGTGTTTGAGTGTGTGTGGTGTCTGTGTGCCTGTGTATGGGTGTGTGTGTATGCATGTATGGCTGCGTGTATGTAAGCGGTCATGTACACCTCACAGAGCACGTGTGGAGTTCAGGAGTTGACACCTCCTTCCGCTGAATGTGTCCCGGGAATGAAACTCAGGTCTTGAAGTTTGGTGGCCCGTCCCTTTATCCGCTGAGCTTTCCCCAAGGACATCTTTAGCTCTGCACTTCCACTGAAAGCACCCCCCCCCCCCAAGGGAGGAGCAGCCTTGCTAGGCCACAGAAGAGGACATTGCAGCCAGTCCTGAAGAGACTTGATAAGCTAGGGTCAGATGGAAGCGGAGGAGGTCCTCCCCTACTAGTGGACTTGGAAAGGGGCAGGGAGATGATGAGGGAGGGTGGGATTGGGAGGGAATGAGGGAGGGAGCTACGGCTGGGATACAAAGTAAATAACCTGTGATTGACATAAAAAAATAAATTAAAAAAGACAGACTTCCTGATTTCAGCCCTCGGGCCCTGGCTCCCACCCCTGCCTTACTTCCACCTTCTAGGCGCCAATCATGTGTGGCTCTTCACTCAGGGCTACAGCTCTCCTCATTTCCTCACTTCCTGCTCCTCGCTAATTAGTGTCTGAGCATGAAATAACTTATCCTGTCATCTCCGCTCTGAGCTTCTCAAAGTTCATTGACTGAAATCTCAACTTCCATTGTTTTCAGGCTCAAGTTCACTTTTTTAAAATTTGAGGGAGGGGTGACAAGAGCTAGGCATGGTGGCACATGCCCTTAATCCCCAGCAGGGAGACCAAAGTAGGAGGATCTCTGTGAGTCCTTGGCCAGCCTGATCTACAAAGCGAGTTCCAAGTCAGCCAGGATTACAGAGAAACCCTTTGAAAAAACAACAAACAACAGAAATTCGTGTGTGTGTGTGTGTGTGTTACTTTTTGAGTCAGGGTCTCAAGTAGCCGAGGCTGCCTCTTAACTCTCCATGGAGCCAAGAATGACCTTATGACCTTGAACTTCCACACCCTCCTGCTTTCCTGTGATGGGATTGCAGGCAGGCACAACCTCCATGTTTGGTGTAGTGCTGTGGATAGGACCAGGGCTTCCAGTAGGCTAGGCCACCATTCTCTGAGCTGACCCACAGGCCAGGCCTCAAACTCAGTGTTTAACGGTGAGTCATCCGCTTGATGTGGGGTTACTGGTGTGCGTGTTCTCAGGCTTTCACGGTTCAGCGATCTTGGTGGTGCCCAGCAGCCACCCACACCCCTGGCTGCTCGATGTGCATGTGACAGGTCAGGTAGGCCAGTCTGCTGCTGCCCCCAGGCCCATCTGTCCAGCAAGACCCCAGGCTGCAGAGGCATTCCTGTTACAGCATCTCCCAGACCACCCCTACTTTCTCCTCAGAGGCCACGAGGTTTGTCTAGTGGTTTGTCCAGGGCACCACTGTTTTGAACATTCTAGGATACCATACTGCTTAGTTTTGTGGGCAGAGTAGTAATGGTCACAGGAGCAACTGGAAAAATACAACAAATCCTGTCATTTCAGCATTTTGGAGCATAGGATTTGGCTCTCCAACAGCTATATATTTTATTCTTGCTGTATTTATGAGACACCATTGCTGTCTTCCCAGAATACCTAGTTAAGTCCTTGGTTTTCAATTTTAAAAATTACATTCATTTGTATGTTCCTTGTGTGGGCACATGCATAGCAAAGCGTGTGCATAGAGGTCGGGGGACAGTCTGCAGTCCATTCTTTCCTTACAACCACGTGGGTCCCAGTGATGGAACTTAGGCCCTCAGGCCTGGCAGTGAGTACCTGCCGGGCCATCTTGCCAAAGCCCTCACTTTTTGAGCAGAACTGAGTCCAGCTGGTTTGTTTCATGACAACATTGATAAAAATGCCTCCCCTGGGACTTGAGAACTGCAGGTACTCCAAGGTTTAGGTTTGGTCAGAGTTGTCCAGGGCCAGAGTTTTCTGGCATCAAAGAAAACATGGAGCCAGCTATGGTGGAACACATCCGTAATGCCAGTGCTTGGGAGGAAGAGGCAGCATGGTGAGTTTCATGGCAGCCCAGCCTGCAGAGTGAAGTCTAGGAGATCCTGGGTGACATGGTAAAACCCTGTCAAAGAAAACATGGTGTTTCTGGCTGAGACACGCTAGCAATCTGGCCTAGGAATGGCATGCCACTCAGAGTGCGCCTATCAGAACAGCCAAGACAGAACTTCAGGCTAGACGCTTCTAAGCTTTGCAGATTCCCAGGCCGTCTCATTTCCACAAGAATGTGACCCTGGAGCCAAGGAGAGGTAAGTTTGCCTTCACCAACCTTGGGAAAGCCTTTCCTCCGGCTGCAAGTTCAGCAGGAAGTGCCAGATAGCTGGAGTGTCAGCTTGACTGCCAAGGGCAGACGCGTCACCCAGCAGGGCTTACATGCCAGGCTGTGAGACACACTTGGGAGTCTCCTGCCTTATACGGCATGATCAGGCCCCCAGCTGGGCCCACTAGAACAGTAAAGACAGAGTTAAGACAGAGCTTGCCCTTCCCTTTTTGGGGAAAGGTTCTGGCTTTGCCCCCTGCCCTGCTGTGCTGGGCTCTGCTACCTCGGCAGGCCCTCAAAAGAGGGGAGCGAGGATGAGGTCACTCCAGCCTCCCCAGGTCCACCCTGCCTACTGTCCCAAATCCCAGAGGCACCTGCTTGGAGAAACCTATTTCACTGCTAAGCAATGTGATGGCACTGAGAGCCAGGCTAAACCAGCCATGTCTTTTGTGCTCAACTGCAAGGCACGGCAGGCCTTTGAGAGGTGGGGGAGAGGCAGGGGAGAGGCAGGAGAGAGGCAGGAGAGAGGCAGGGTGGTCTGCAGCCACTCAGTAGCTTGGCCTCCCCTTCACAGGGGCCTTCCCAAGAAGAAAAGGATACTTTAGTTAAACAGTTCACATTTATTATTATAACAATAAAAAAATCTTTTAAAGACTATCAGTATTATATTACCAAGAGTGAGGTAATAAGTTTACAAAACATTTACAGAATTTGATATGCAAATAATGGATTCAGGAAGGAGAGTGAATTAAGACATGAGAAACAGGAAGAGCCCCGAGAGTGAGTCCTTGGGGTGGGAAGGTGAGAGACAGCAGCATTTTAGGAGAGTGCCGGGCACTGCAACAAGAGGCTCTGTGAGCCCCACAGGGTCACGTCACACCTCGTCACCCCTCCCAGGCAGCCAGTGCCCTGCGGCTCGGGGAGCTGAAGGCCCGTGAGTGTGCAGTCGTGTGCTTTAAGCTCTTAAAGATGCGCTCAGCTCTCAGGGGCTGAGCAGGGCCACTTCTCAACGGGCTTAAGGGGAACAGATCTTCAGCCTGGGACAGGCTGCGACTCAGACAGACACCTCGGGCACATGTGGGCTGTCGAGTGAGGCGTGTTCTTGGAGGCTGTCAGCAAAATCGCCATCTGGGACACGGAGAGAGGGAGAGGGGGAGAGAGGGGGAGAGGAGAGAGAAAGAGCAGGGGCATCTTCAGGTCCTTTAGCTTGGAGCTGGGAAGCCCTGACTGGAAGCAGCATGATGCCCTGCTGTGCTGTCTAGAAACAGCTCCCACGCACAGGAAATGCACGGCTCAGGGCGCCGGGAGCCAGGGGGCTTCACTGGCCACGCCAGGCTGCTGTGTAGTCTCTCCTCATGCTTGCTGACATAGCTCACATCACACTGCCAGCTACCCAACACCTCAAAGCGGCATTAATACATGATTCCATACCTGTCTCACATGCTCATGGCCATGTGGGTTTGGCACACATCTTTGGACACTTTTAATACACACACAAACAGATCCCATGCCATTCTCTGGAGATCAGACACTTGCAACTTCCAGACAGCTTCGTAAGAAACATGCTTTCCCCACGTAAGCAGTCAAGCAGACCCTGCTCAGACAGCAGGCTTTGGGAAGTCGGGATCACAAAGAAAAAAAAAAAAAAAAGACACACCATCCCAGTGTCTGGTCTGCTTCTATGAAATGCTTACCATCCATGTAAAGCTCCGCTGGTCCATCCCCAAAAGCAGCCCGCCCCCTCATGCACACACACAGCACCTGCATACACACTCACAGCATCCACTGACACACCCAAGGCCACTACAAGCCATGCGCCACCCTGGACAGCATTGCTGGGGTCTGCACTGTCACACCTCCAGAAGTGTGACCTACTGCTTCCAAACACCCGCCTGAGAGCTGAGGACCCTGGGTGCTGAGGACTGAGGACACTAAGTGCTGAGGGCTGAGGACCCTGGGAGCTAGGAGAGCCGAGGACCCTGGGTGCTAGGGGGACTGAGGACCCTGGGTACTAGGAGTGCCGAGGACCCTCGGTACTGTTGGCTAAGGACCTTGGGTGCTGGAGGGCAGAGAGCTGCCCACCTGCAGAAGGAAAAACAGCATTCAGCAGAGGGAAAGACTGCTCCCCTCCCCAAGTTCACGGACAGAAAAATTTTGCTCTGAAAAATATCAAAAGATTTGAAGAGGAGGAAAGAGAAAGCAATGTTTAATGATGGCGATATTGTTGGGAGTCGAGAGGGGCCCTGACAGCCCCTCCTGGGCTGTGGGTGCCTGCTCAGGAGTGGGCTGGCTCAGCCCCGGGGCTGGGTGCTCCTGCAAGCTGCCAAGTCCTCTGAGGAAAGGGACCCCAAGGGCTGTCCTGAATCCACAGGCCGCCTCCACTAACAGGGAGCGGAGAGGACTCTGGTGCAGCGTGAGTGCTGCCGCGGCAGCTTCAGTTCCGTGGAGGAGGCGGCTCGTCTCTGCAGATGTCACACAAGTCATTCACTAGTGGACAAGGTGGAGTTTGTTGGAAAATTTTTGCATCGACAATTGAGACCAGTCAGTCTCTTACTGTAGATAACCTACTTTTCTTTTGAGAGCCCTTGTGCTCCGGTTTGATTTTGTGCACGCTGTACAAAATCTATGGCTATCGAGTTAAAGTTAGGGGTAGAGTTGGAACTACCTGTCAAGACAGTCTGGGGAGCAAGTGACTGGGACAGCCTCTGGAGGGCTAGCTGCTACCTAGAGGGCGAGGAGCCAGCACATCCTGGCGTGGGCGGAGCACAGCGTCGAGGAGGAGGCTCCCTCCGCACTGGGCACAGGCGTCGCAGCACTACCTGGAAATCATGGAGCTGGAGTGCGACTGGCTGGAAGAGGTGGTGGCGGCACTGAGCTGGGAGAACCCGCTGTGGCTGGACTCCAGGCTGGTCATGGAGCCTCTGCAGATGAGCCCAACAGAGAACAGGAGTGAGGACTGCCCGGAGATGCCGGCTGGATTCCAGCACACCTCTTTCTGCGCCTCCCCCATCAGCACTTGCGGAGCAGGGAAGGGACACGAACATCCCATTGGACGCATCCGCTTCCTGTGGTCTGCCCACAGGTGACACTGCACTTAGCGAGCGCCAGGCCACATCCCCTCTCCTGCCCACAGGCCTGAAGGAGAGACCTCGGCCAGAGCCGCGCTCCCAGGCACCCACCTGAAGTCCTCGGAGCCGATCACCTCTGTGTAGTACATCACTTTGCACTTGTGGGAGGACACCTGCAGGGAGGCCAGCACGTCGTCCACTCGGGGCAGGTTGGTGGCGGCACACGCTGGCATGCTGTGGAACTTCCACTGCAGGATGTAGAAGCCTGGCCACCTGGTCACGTGGGAGCCCTGCAACAGCGGGCAGTGGCAACTCAGGATGTTCCTTCTACCAGTCTTCAAACAGGTCTGACGAGCTCCGAGGGCTGCCCTGAGAGCTTGCCGTGAGCAAACAGCCTAATGATGTCCTGCCAGCACTGCCAGGTGCTGGGAAGGCAGACTGTGTGTGGCATGCCTACTGCCCTCAGCAACCTGCAGCCTCCAGACACTGCCAGGAAACAGGGGCTTGGCAGGGCGGGCTGTCAGAGGGCCTGTGAAGGCCAGGGAACAGCTTCTCCGTCACAATCCCGGCACTTCCCCATTGCGGGCAATTTGCTCCAACCATGTTTTCCATTCTGGACTAAAGATCCAGGGGCAAAGCCAACTTCCCTCACCCGTTACTTTAAGAGGGGTGAAGATTCCCTTTCAAGCTGCCTCACAGACAACTCATGTGCTGGCAGCCCATTGCTGAAGCATAGAGGAGGAGAGCCTGTGGCCATTGTACAGGCCAGGAGCACTGCAGGAGTGAAAGCCAGCATTTACTGCCAAAGGTGGTGCAGTAGCGAGCACCATGGAGGGAGAGAGCGACCCAGGGGCCAACACGAGCCAGCACAGGACAGAGCTGCCATGTTTCTCAGCAAGAGCTGGCGGGGGTGTCCTCTGTACTTGAGCCTCATTTTGTTTTGTTTTGTTTTCTGAGACAGAGTCTCCCTGTGTAGCCCTGGCTGTCCTGGACTCACTTTGTAGACCAGGCTGGCCTCGAACTCACAGAGACCTGCCTGCCTCTGCATCCCAGAGTGCTGGGATTATAGGCGTGTGCCACAGTGCCTGGCTGTACTTGTTCCTCTTGCTTCTGCGTGACTTTACTCTGGAGGCAGAGCCACGCCGAGTTACACAGCAGTGAAGTCACCTGACCCTGTCACACCGCAGAGGGGTGCCAACACGTCTGGGGAAAGCCACACACTTTACTAAGTTCATAGCTCTGGTCTCTGGCCTCTCCTTCCACCGTGCCCCCGGGCATGCTCAGTCTTTCTGGCTGTGAGGCAGCCCACCTGTGCCCTCCTCCTGGTGCAGAAGCCACACGGGCTGGAGGGCCAGGCACTTCCTCATCAGGCCTGAGTGAGCAGAGTGTCACACTGCAGGCTTACCTGCACACTCTCTCCTTCCTTGCAGATGAGAGGTGACTCGACCATGCTGTAGTCCCGGCCCAGCTGCCAGGCTTTGTCTATGAGCTGCACATTGTTCCCCCCTGGAGAGGTGATGCTGTGGGCCCCCAGTGAGTCCTTTTTGGGTGGCTGGGGAGACCTCTTGGAGTGATAAATATTAAAGACGATGTCTCCTTTGCACACATCAAAATCCCAAGTGATCACTGAGGCAGCGTCCACAATCTGAATGAGAATCTGTGGAAAGAGATCCCATCAGCAACCAATCCACAGCACAAGGCCTGGCCGCAGCTGGGGCAGATGTGTGAGCTGGCTGAGTCCACTTCTCATCTTCCCAACACAACTAAGGAAAAGTCGCAAGCATGGACATGAGAGTTAGTGGACCGCCTCAGGCGAGGGAGCAGTGGCAGGCCCTAAAGAAGAGGGCCATAAACAGGACGGGGCCTAGCGCAGTGCTGGCTGCCTGTACTAGACTGGTTCAATCGTGCCATGCAAGTTGGTAGACAGATCAGCTGTGCCCTGGGGGTGATGGTCGATGGTGCGGAGTGCCAATCCCAAAGCTGTAATCTACTCTGCATCAGTCTCAAGGGTCCCAAAGGGAAGGGGAGGTCTGTGAGGACGCGCGAGGCTGCAGAGCAGAAGCAGCTATGCAGCCCACCATGACCCTCTGAAGGTCGTAAGAGCAGATCCAGGAGGCACGATGGCCCCTCTCAGAGCAGCAGGTGGCACTAGAGGGTGCAGCTTATTCTCTTCATCAAAACAGCGCCCCAGGCGCAGACCTAGCCGGAGACCTTGGCCCCTGCGCTGACAGGGCAACAGGGACTGTGACGTGAGCCTTGACTCCAGGCAGCAGGCCTCTGATGTGACTTTACTTACACCCCAAGGCAGAACGATGCCTTTACTGTTTCAGCACCGACAGCAAACACCGTGAGCCCCGGCGCCTCGCAACAAAGACAAAATGACAGCCGCCTAATACAAAGCCCCAGCCTCCCCCACGGAAGAAACGAAAAGAGTGATTCTAGGGACAGGCAAAGATCCACGGTGCCCTGCATGGGGCCTGGACCACGAGGGAGAGAGGCACACTCGTCTCTGCCTGCTGGTTCTCAGCACAGCCCCAGGCTAATACTTGCGTGTGCCTCTGTGTGTCAGTCAGCTGTCAGGAAGATGTCAGCTGGCAGGCGGCGGAACCAGGGGTTGCCACAGCAGAACACCACCAGCGAAGCCAGCTCTACACTGACGGAGGGCCCATACTGGAGAAAGTGCTGCCTCCCACCAGGAACACTCAGCAACACACCTGCCCTAGAGCTAAGCAGAGGGTGAGCCCGGCGCGCTCGCTCACAGGGACAGGAAGAGAGGCAAGTCAAGCAGGGACACTGCTGCTTCTGCACCTGCCGCTACACGCCGCACTGGCAAGAACCGGACAACATGAGCTCATTTCTCCTCCTTCCACCGGACTGACAAAAGACTAAGAAAAAAAATGACCAGAAGCCAGCCAAGGAAAGCCTGCAGGCAAACTTGCTCCAGAAAACCATCAAACTAAACCCAGGAGCTGGAACAACCTCCCCAGGCAAGACTCAGTCTGCACTGGTCCAGGATCTCCAGAGAAATAGCTAGCGGTCAATGGGCCAACCTGCTTCCAAGGTTCTCTGCTCAAACAGCAGTGTGTCCACTGAGGCAGCTTGGCGTCAGTGTTGCCATTTACTGACATGACTGCCAACAAGTTCTAAAGACCAAGAGCCAAGGACGAAGAGAAGCCCTGCCTGCCGGGTAGGGAGTGAGGGTGTCTCTCCCATGGGAGAGGCCAGAGGGTGGGCACCTCATGTGGGGCTCCTTTGAAGACGCTGGCCGACTGGTAGATGGTCTCCGTCCAGAGCTTCAGGTCCTCATTTTCCAGCTCCTCTGCGGTCCTGTACAGAGATTTGGGCACCAGTCCGCCCTCCGGCACGTCACACTAGGAAGGTAAATGTGGCAGTGAAAACCGTGGAAAAGCCAGGCAGCCTCAGCCCAAACGCCCACCCTCGGCAGCAGCTGAGAAAGCGGAGGACACTGGCAATGTTGTCAAATAGTCTGTAGCACTTAGCAAAATTCTTGTAAAGCCCACTTAAATACATGTGTTTTTACGTTGAGTAAGTGAGAACAAGCTGAAGCGGGGTCACCACAGGACTCACTAACACGCGTGAGGAAAAGTCAATTATGTGATTTACATGAGAATCAGCAGCATTTGTGTCGCACGTGCGAGCAAAGGACGCTGTGCTGCACAGGGCCCCTAGCAAGGGTTATGTAAATGTGCACTGCCGACAACGTCCCTGAGCGGCGCAGGTCAGCCCCGGCCCACGACGCTGTCCGGACACATAAAGCCAACGTCCCAACCAGAAGGTCAGAAACCTTCAGTGCGAAGCAGCGGGGACGAAGCCTACAGCTTCCTGCCATGCCTACCATGCACTCCCCGCTCAGGAAATCTGGAATGATCTCTTTATCGATGTAGTCCAGCAGGCCTCCAGGGCCCTGGTAGTCATTTCCTGCATAAATGAGGAATTTCCTTCTGGTGTTGTCATCAATAAATGGACTAACCTGCAAGTGAGCAGACAAAACATGACTTCACAACCTGAGCCCCCGATGTGAGGCTATAAGTGGCCAGGCGTCGAGCCAAAGCTGTCACAGGCCCTCAAGTCTACTGGCCAAGCACGAGGGTCCTCAGGAAGCCCCTGCTTTCCCTCCTAAAGGGTCAGAAGCACTATGTGTGTGCGTTTGCTGGGGCTGCAGTGGAGGCTGTGCTGAGTACACCTGGCTGACTACAGATGGCCATCTGAACCCACCAGTGTCCAGAGGACGGGGAAGACCCTGGGAGCCCGCAGGATGAGGAGGCGGCCCAGCGTCTCCGGGTAGTTGGCCTCCACGACCTCAATGATCCGAAGCAGCGCCTTGACTCCCGGTCTCCACAGGTGGCGCATGTTCAGCCCTTCGAGGTCCACCAGGCAGGTCCATGAGCTGCGGGAGCGTGAAGACGTGTTTATTTAACAGATGGCACCTGGACAATGGTGTCCTACTTCGTTCTTTTCATATAAAAGTCATTTACAGGCATTCCCAAATATACCAGTTTTAAAAGAGTACAGTGCTACGAGCGCTTATTTATAGCTGTGCGTGTGAAACACAGATGCTCCCTGAGGAACAATGCCTGAACCACCGAGTCCCCTCAGACTCCGGAAACCCCAGTGCTCAGGAAGCTGAGGCGGGAGGATCAGGAGTCCAAGGACAGCCTGGGCTAATGAGACCCTACCTCTGAAAATCCAACTAAACAACCAAGAGCCCCGCTGATGCCTGCTCACTGCTGAGCAAGCTGGTGCCGTCTTCAGGCAGACACTTGGCATTTGACACGGAATGTGACACTACGGCATGCTCAGGTCGAGCACTGGCTCAGCAACGACAGCACACGCAGCTGTAACCAGAAGCCTGCATGCCACGGCCTGGCAGAGCCCACGCTGCTCAGCCCTCAGTCACGGCACAAAGTTCTCTGAGACGGGGTCTCATGTGTAGCTCAGGCTGGCCTTGAACTCTAAGTACTTGAAGATGACCTTCAACTCCTGATCCTCCTGCCTCCTCTCTCAAGTGCTGGAATTACAGGTGTGAGCCATCATGCCTGGCTCTTCTTTTCAAAATAGTATTCCACAATCAGAAGCTGGTTCCTGAAGAAGAACTGGGGGTTGGGAGAAGGAGAAAACACAACAAACCCCACCAGGTAATGTAGTCTTGGCTCCTAGGCACACACAGACAGCACCTCGGGGACAAATGCTAAACCTTGTCACTTGCTTTTCAACCTTCTAGAATGTGTTGTAAACAGTCAGCTATCAGACTGTGGTACCAACTCAAAGTCTTTAGCTCCTGTTCCTTACACGCTCAAGAGACGATGCCCCACCCACCTGATGGGCCGGCCGAAAACTTTGGTATTCTCTTCGCATCGCCTCAGGCCTTCTTCATTTATGGAAAGAACCTGTAATTAGAGGTCCAAAAGGCAGCCAGGGTCAGTCCAGGGGGACAGTAACATCACACTCACGACTCATGGGGGGTGGGGGGGAACGAGACGGGAAGACCCAGGCACCTCCCTCACACCCGACACGGCAACAGTCGATATTCACTTGCAGAGACTAGATGGCAGCAGCAACAGAGAAGGCAGGAGGGCCAAGGAAAGCACCAGTCAGGTCACCTGAGCGGGGAGCTCTATTGTGGGGGGCGTGCAAAACAGGTCGCTTGGGGCAGGAGGTGAGGAGTGAGGGGAGTGTGCGTGCGTACGTGCGTGCGTGTGTGTGTGTGTGTGTGTGTGTGTGTGACAGAGAGAGGGAGAGATAGAGAAGGAGGGAGAGAGAGAATGTGTGACTGTGTTGTGTGTGACACACATGGCTGAGACATGTGTACCTAAAAGAATACACAGCACACAAGGACTGGGGATACTGGGGGAGAAGGGACTTGCTTTTCTAACTCTTAGTTTGTTTTCGAACAGAAAGAACAGGCTGTTTTCTGGGCCAGGGCACAGTAGACTGGGAAGATGGAGATGGCCTGGAACCAGGAAGAGACAGCTCAGCAGCCTCTGAGAGGCCACCAGCCTGCAAGAGGAGATCAGCAGAAAGAGCTCTGGCAAGAGCTGTGACGTGAGTGACCGCTCTAAGTCAGAGGTGGCAGAAGCTGTCTCCTCAGGCTTGTGCTGTGCGTCCTCCATTGCCCCAAGTGTGGGGCACTGCACACTTGTTCCAGCAGCCAGCTGTGCGCCCAGTCCTGCTGGTAGCAAGTGAGGACGGCTCTCGGCCCAGTGCCCCCGCTGAGCACTTACATATCGCAGCAGGGCTTCCTCTCCCAGGGCTCGCACCAGGCCTTTGGTGTCCATCTGGCCCAGCCGGAGCACATACAGCGGCCGCCCATCTGCAAGGGAGGGCAGCGAAGAAGCTGTGACGAGTGAGTGGCAGGCCACGCCTCTAAGAGACGGCTTCTGCTTGAGATATGCACGGGGCTCTGGCCACTCTGAGGATCCAACACTGGCTTCTGCCTGAGGACGGCACGTGTGGGCAATACCTCTCCGAAACATATCAGCTGACGGCAACTGACAGGTCCCAGGGCCAAGTGGGGCTGAGCTGGGTGCAGCCTGCCTGGTTTCCCCAATCTGTGTGACCATGGCTGATGCTAGGCTCAGTGTTCACTACAGGGGACAGCAGCACGGCCACATATTTTCTATAAATACACAGTTTTGGTCTTTTTTTAAATTTTAAAACAATTTTCCCATAAGTGATTAAAAATTTACTGTCAGATTTTTTTAAAAGCCAGCCTTCCTCCCTAAGGACACACATCTGGAAAACCCACAAGTCCTACAGCCAGCACATGCCAGGTCTGAGGCTCCTTAGCCTGGAGGTCCAATGACCAGGCCTCCTAACTCACTCTAGTTAGCTACCACCCACCAGAGTGGAATAATCATGGGCCAGAGCGCATCCTGCAGTCATGGTTTGAACCCTGGCCACATGGGACAGGGCAGCGCTGAGGTCAGGTTCCTCAACACACCAAGTCTGCTGTTCTCCTGCCTGGGACCAGAACTTCCCTGCAGAACTTCCCCTGCAGCCCAGGCCTCATAGTATAGCTCAGGCTGGCTTAGACCTCACTCCATAGATGAGGCTGGCCTTGAACTCACAGGGATGCCCCTCCCTGGGCCTCTCAAGGGGTGGGACTGTAAGCATTCACCACCACACCTGGCTCTTCTGACATCTGTCAATCTTTTGCTTGAGACACAGTCTCACCTATAACTCTGCTGTCCTGGAACTCACTGTACTGTCCAGACTCAGTCCTAACTGCTGGGTTAGGCATGAGCCACCACAGCTGGCCGGTCAATATTTTACTACGAAACCTTTAGTCTTTCAACAAGTAGTATATTTTCAACAAAAATATATTAAAGTCATGGACATTGTAGTGTCTCTAGCATGTCTCTGCGTTCAAGGGCCTAAGGCAGGAGGACCTTGGGTTCAAGGCTAGCCTATGTTACATAAAGGGCCTCCTTGTCAAGCAGAACTCAGAAGTTACCATGACCGTTAATTATATACAAGATTAAAAACAAAATCAACAGATTAGGGGTTCAAAGCCTCTGTCAGCTATTTAGGAGACAGTTCAAGGCTAGCCTGGGCTACATGTAACCTTGTCTCAAAAATAAAAACAAAAGCAAAAATTAATACAGCCACAATTAATCTGGAGAACCACATTCACAAAATTAAAAAACAAACAAACAAACAAACAAACAAACAAGCAAACCAAGATGCCCAGGGGCTGGTGTCTGGAAGGACATGTTTGAGGGGAGAAGGCACAATTCCCGGTACCCCTGTCCTAGCTGCAGGGCCACGTGTGCATTCCGCATGGCTGCCCGGCTGTGGGTCAGCAGCAGGAAGACTGTGAAGCAGGAGCACCCGCCCACAGGGCTGAGGTGGGCGAGGCAGCTGGGAGTATCGGGCTGCTGCTTCCAGCTCTGCTCTCCTCCGCTCTTCAAGGCAGAGCCTGGGCCAGGCAGCTTCCGGCCACGGTAACAGTGGGGATCACTCCGTGCCGCCAGCACTGTGCCACTGAGCCGCACCACAAAGAGCAGTGCTCTCTCAACCAGACTCTCTGAAAGCGGAAGGCAAGGCACCTGGCCGCTTCCCAGTGCTTGGCTGTCCAGGCTTGGGTGTGAACAGGCTTCAAGAAAGGTCTCGCCAGCTCATCATGTCCTTCAAGGAAGGGCTACAGGCTGCCACATAGGGTGACACACAAGACAGCATAGAGGTGACCATGTCAGGCTCACCCTACCTTTGTCATGGTGATGCCAGCCTCCAGCGTAGTAATCCTGAAGGACCTGGGGCGGAGTCCAGGTGTCTAGGATGTAATCCACCTGGTGCTGTTTCCGCCAAGTTAGAGACTGGCACATGATCTCTCTGGCCTTGTCGATATTAAAATCTCGGGCACGCAGAAACCGCAGAATATGCTCGTCCTTCGGGATCTAGGAGGAGAGAGGTCTCTAAGCCACCTGCGAGTCTCTGGGGAAAGAGGTCAAACGCACCTCCTGCCAATGTGAGCTTGGGGCACAGTGCTTTCAAGCACATAAAGACCCTGGATCCCTTCCTTGCAACACACACACACACACACACACACACACACACACACACACACACACACA